TATACCCTGTGTGATAAATTCTATACCCTGTGTGAGAAATTCTATAGCCTGTGTGATAAATTCTATACCCTGTGTGATAAATTCTATACCCTGTGTGATAAATTCTATACCCTGTGTGATCATAATAAATTCTATACCCTGTGTGATAAATTCTATACCCTGTGTGATAAATTCTGTACCCTGTGTGATAAATTCTATACCCTGTGTGATAAATTCTGTACCCTGTGTGATAAATTCTATACCCTGTGTGATAAATTCTATACCCTGTGTGATAAATTCTATATCCTGTGTGAATCAGGATAAATTCTATACCCTGTGTGATAAATTCTATACCCTGTGTGATAAAGGATACCCTGTGTGATAAATTCTATACCCTGTGTGATAAATTCTATACCCTGTGTAATCAGGATAAATTCTATACCCTGTGTGATAAATTCTATACCCTGTGTAATCAGGATAAATTCTATACCCTGTGTGATAAATTCTATACCCTGTGTGATCAAATAAATTCTATACCCTGTGTGATAAATTCTATACCCTGTGTAATCTATACCCTGTGTGATAAATTCTATACCCTGTGTAATGATAAATTCTATACCCTGTGTGATAAATTCTATACCCTGTGTGATAAATTCTATACCCTGTGTGATAAATTCTTTTCCCTATGTGATAATTATAAATTCTAGACCCTGTGTAATAAGGATAAATTCTATACCCTGTGTGATAAATTCTATACCCTGTGTGATAAATTCTATACCCTGTGTGATTCTATACCCTGTGTGATAAATTCTATACCCTGTGTGATAAATTCTATACCCTGTGTGACAAATTCTATACCCTGTGTGATAAATTCTATACCCTGTGTGATAAATTCTATACCCTGTGTGATAAATTCTATACCCTGTGTAATCAGGATAAATTCTATACCCTGTGTGATAAATTCTATACCCTGTGTGATAAATTCTATACCCTGTGTGATAAATTCTATACCCTATGTGATCATAATAAATTTTATACCCTGTGTGACAAATTCTATACCCTGTGTGATAAATTCTATACCCTGTGTGATAAATTCTATACCCTGTGTGACAAATTCTATACCCTGTGTAATCAGGATAAATTTTATACCCTGTGTGATAAATTCTATACCCTGTGTGATAAATTCTATACCCTATGTGATCATAATAAATTTTATACCCTGTGTGACAAATTCTATACCCTGTGTAATCAGGATAAATTCTATACCCTGTGTGACAAATTCTATACCCTGTGTAATCAGGATTAATTCTATACCCTGTGTGATAAATTCTATACCCTATGTGATCATAATAAATTCTATACCCTGTGTGATAAATTCTATACCCTGTGTGATCAGGATAAATTCTATACCCTGTGTGATAAATTCTATACCCTGTGTGATAAATTCTATACCCTGTGTGACAAATTCTATACCCTGTGTAATCAGGATAAATTTTATACCCTGTGTGATAAATTCTATACCCTGTGTGATAAATTCTATACCCTATGTGATCATAATAAATTTTATACCCTGTGTGATAAATTCTATACCATGTATGATAAATTCTGTACCCTGTGTGATAAATTCTATACCCTGTGTGATAAATTCTATACCATGTATGATAAATTCTATACCCTGTATGATAAATTCTATACCCTGTGTGACAAATTCTATACCCTGTGTGATAAATTCTATACCCTATGTGATAAATTCTATACCCTGTGTGATAAATTCTATACCCTGTGTAATCAGGATAAATTCTATACCCTGTGTGACAAATTCTATACCCTGTGTAATCAGGATTAATTCTATACCCTGTGTGATAAATTCTATACCCTGTGTATTCAGGATAAATTCTATACCCTGTGTGATAAATTCTATACCCTATGTGATCATAATAAATTCTATACCCTGTGTGATAAATTCTGTACCCTGTGTGATAAATTCTATACCCTGTGTGACAAATTCTATACCCTGTGTGATAAATTCTATACCCTGTGTGATAAATTCTATACCCTATGTGATCATAATAAATTCTATACCCTGTGTGACAAATTCTATACCCTGTGTGATAAATTCTATACCCTGTGTGACAAATTCTATACCCTGTGTGATAAATTCTATACCCTGTGTGATAAATTCTATACCCTGTGTAATCAGGATAAATTCTATACCCTGTGTGATAAATTCTATACCCTGTGTGATAAATTCTATACCCTATGTGATCATAATAAATTCTATACCCTGTGTAATCAGGATAAATTCTATACCCTGTGTGATAAATTCTATACCCTGTGTGATAAATTCTATACCCTGTGTGATAAATTCTATACCCTGTGTGACAAATTCTATACCCTGTGTAATCAGGATAAATTCTATACCCTGTGTGATAAATTCTATACCCTGTGTAATCAGGATAAATTCTATACCCTGTGTGATAAATTCTATACCCTATGTGATCATAATAAATTCTATACCCTGTGTGATCAGGATAAATTCTATACCCTGTGTAATAAATTCTATACCCTGTGTGATAAATTCTATACCCTGTGTAATCAGGATAAATTCTATACCCTGTGTGATAAATTCTATACCCTATGTGATCATAATAAATTCTATACCCTGTGTGATCAGGATAAATTCTATACCCTGTGTGATAAATTCTATACCCTGTGTGATAAATTCTATACCCTGTGTGACAAATTCTATACCCTGTGTAATCAGGATAAATTTTATACCCTGTGTGATAAATTCTATACCCTGTGTGATAAATTCTATACCCTGTGTGATAAATTCTATACCCTATGTGATCATAATAAATTTTATACCCTGTGTGACAAATTCTATACCCTGTGTAATCAGGATAAATTCTATACCCTGTGTGACAAATTCTATACCCTGTGTAATCAGGATTAATTCTATACCCTGTGTGATAAATTCTATACCCTGTGTAATCAGGATAAATTCTATACCCTGTGTGATAAATTCTATACCCTATGTGATCATAATAAATTCTATACCCTGTGTGATAAATTCTATACCCTGTGTGATAAATTCTATACCCTGTGTGATAAATTCTATACCCTGTGTGACAAATTCTATACCCTGTGTGATAAATTCTATACCCTGTGTGATAAATTCTATACCCTATGTGATCATAATAAATTCTATACCCTGTGTGATAAATTCTATACCCTGTGTGATCAGGATAAATTCTATACCCTGTGTGATAAATTCTATACCCTGTGTGATAAATTCTGTACCCTGTGTGATAAATTCTGTACCCTGTGTGATAAATTCTATACCCTGTATGATAAATTCTGTACCCTGTGTGATAAATTCTATACCCTGTGTGATAAATTCTATATCCTGTGTGATAAATTCTATACCCTGTGTGATAAATTCTATATCCTGTGTGATAAATTCTATACCCTGTGTGATAAATTCTATATCCTGTGTGATAAATTCTATACCCTGTGTGATAAATTCTATAACCAGTAGAATAAATTATATACCATGTATGATAAATTCTGTACCCTGTGTGATAAATTCTATACCCTGTGTGATAAATTCTATACCATGTATGATAAATTCTATACCCTGTGTGATAAATTCTATACCCTGTGTGATAAATTCTATACCATGTATGATAAATTCTATATCCTGTGTGATAAATTCTATACCCTGTGTGATAAATTCTATACCCAGTAGGATAAATTCTATATCCTGTGTGATAAATTCTATACCCTGTGTGATAAATTCTATGCAGTGTGGTGGATCTGATGTTTAATACTGATGTGTTATGTGAGGATACTGTGTAAATACATATGACCCTGTATGGGTGGATTGTGTCTACAATGTTAGTCCTTACAATCAGTTTTTGTTATCATTTTGTCTGGAGAACTTGTTCTCTTTGGACCCTGGTAGTGGTCTTTTAATTTTGAGACTGATCAGAAAACTATTTGGATATGTTCTGATGTGGTGTGTTAATGAAGCTTGACAAAATTTATGAAATTAAATGACCATGACCTATGTTTTAAGGTCACAGGGGTCAAATTTGTTAAAACCTTAAAACATCTTTTTCCCATGAATTAAAAAAGCCAAGAGGAATGATAATTTGTGGTATGTTCCCAGGATGAAGCCCGTCGATGACTTTGATTAATATTCAACGTCACCAGGATCAGATTTGTTGAAATCTTTAAAAACTTCTACTTATAAACTAATAATGATATTTGGCTGGTATATTATACCAGGTAAGTACTGCAGGTCCATTGGGCCTCTTGTTGTTATGTTATGATTATTCCCTTAATGATGTAATAGTGACGGAGGAATAAGGAGAGAGAGGTGGGTGGGGAATGATGGACTGTTTTCCCCTAATGATGTAATAGTGACGGAGGAATAAGGAGAGGGAGGTGGGTGGGGAATGATGGACTATTTTCCCTTAATGATGTAATAGTGACGGAGGAATAAGGAGAGAGAGGTGGGTGGGGAATGATGGACTGTTTTCCCCTAATGATGTAATAGTGACGGAGGAATAAGGAGAGAGAGGTGGGTGGGGAATGATGGACTGTTTTCCCCTAATGATGTAATAGTGACGGAGGAATAAGGAGAGAGAGGTGGGTGGGGAATGATGGACTGTTTTCCCCTAATGATGTAATAGTGACGGAGGAATAAGGAGAGAGAGGTGGGTGGGGAATGATGGACTGTTTTCCCCTAATGATGTAATAGTGACGGAGGAATAAGGAGAGAGAGGTGGGTGGGGAATGATGGACTGTTTTCCTCTAATGATGTAAAAGTGACGGAGGAATAAGGAGAGAGAGGTGGGTGGGGAATGATGGACTGTTTTCACTCATTCTGCAATTCTTACCAAACTTCACAAACAAAGTAATACCATGTAGTACACATACTAGATATGATTGTATTGTTTGGTTTTTGTTTTTTCATGTCTGGATTTTATCTTCACATTTCAGATAACAGTTCTTTATAGTCTTGTGTATAATGTAGATAAATTTTCAAGTATTGGGTCAGTTTTGGGACTAGTAGGGATGTCAGTTTTGATATCAGTTTTGGGACTAGGAGGGATGTCAGTTTTGGGACTAGGAGGGATGTCAGTTTTGATATCAGTTTTGGGACTAGGAGGGATGTCAGTTTTGGGAATAAGAGGAATGTCAGTTTTGGGACTAGGAGGGATGTCAGTTTTGGGACTAGTAGGGATGTCAGTTTTGATATCAGTTTTGGGACTAGGAGGGATGTCAGTTTTGGGACTAGGAGGGATGTCAGTTTTGGGAATAGGAGGGATGTCAGTTTTGGGAATAGGAGGGATGTCAGTTTTGGGACTAGGAGGGATGTCTGTTTTGGGACTAGGAGGGATGTCAGTTTTGGGACTAGGAGGGATGTCAGTTTTGGGAATAGGAGGGATGTCAGTTTTGGGAAAATTAGAAAACTGATGGATAGGCCATTAATCTTGTAATTAGTAATTACTATTTCTTTACAAGTTCTAGATTAGTCTTCCTAAAATTTGATAAGTTTCTGGTGATCCCTAGTTTTTGGGAAGTAGCTGAAGGAAGGGAAAAGATACTAGCCTGGTGGGTACCAAGATCTGTCTTAGACCTGTCTTAGATCTGTCTTAGATCTGTCCTGGATCTGTCTTAGACCTGTCTTAGATCTGTCTTAGACCTGTCTTAGATCTGTCTTAGATCTGTCTTAGATCTGTCCTGGATCTGTCTTAGATCTGTATTAGATCTGTCTTAGACCTGTCTTGGATCTGTCTTAGATCTGTCCTGGATCTGTCTTAGATCGGTCTTAGATCTGTCTTAGATCTGTATTAGATCTGTCTTGGATCGGTCTTGGATCTGTCTTAGACCTGTCTTAGACCTGTCTTAGATCGGTCTTAGATCTGTCTTAGACCTGTCTAAGATCTGTCTTAGACCTGTCTTAGATCTGTCTTAGATCCCTTCTTTGTCCTATTTTTAATAAGTTAAAATCGTCAGCATTTAGAGAGAAAAAACTGGAATTTCACTGTAGATCGTTATTGTTATTATTACATTCGTAATGGCCTGTCAACAAATAAAAGGTCATTAGGGCCATCAACCGGTAAGATACACAACGATCCAAAAAATATCAAACAAATTTAAAAGTGAAAGGTAAAAGACAAATGCTAAAAATTTTAAATGGTTATATTATCACAAAAAATTAAAATAGTAAATCATATCCTATGATATAGACCAACATGTTCCAGATAACCTAGAATTTTATAAATCTGAACAGTTTCTAAAAGGGTCTTTAGATTTGTAATGTTACAATAAAAAATTCTCCAGTAGACAGAAGGTCAATGCAGTCCAATAAAAAATGTTTATCAGTGAATTTCTCATCACATCCTATGCACCGAGGATTATCTTCACCTTTCAACATATATGAATGTGTAAGGTAAGTATGGCCCATATTAAGATGGGCAAAGACAACTTTGTCTCGGTGGTTGTCTCTATAGCATGGAAACCATTCACCGATGATGATAGGTTATAAGGAGTGCAATTTATTATTGGTATATTGATTCTGTTTCTCCTGCCACTGAGCTGTTAAAATGTTTGATGGTTTAAAAATTAGTGAAATGAAGTTTAAAAACAACAGGTGGTAGCGATAAAGCTTCCTTTGCGGCACGATCTGCTTTTTCATTGCCTGATATTCCCATGTGCCCAAGAGCCCAATATGAAACAATATGGAAGTTTTAGGCAAGTTCATGATATAGTATTTATGTATTACAAATGAAAATATTTTTCATATTTCTGTTGCTGAGACATTGTATTACAGAAAAAGAGTCTGATTAGGTTAGGGATGAAAATATTGTGGTGTTGTTGGGTAGCCAGCATCCATAAGATTTTTCCAAGGATTCTAGAAGTTCTAACATTACGAATTTTGATAACAGTTTTGTACATTTTCCAACACATGTTATTTGTCAGTTTTAGTTTTGAATATTTCATATGTAACTTGATATCAGTGATTTGAATCTGCATACCTGTAGATTTTATCAGGGAAAATTATGATAAGTACAGATCATGTGACAGTATCACCTGTGTATGTTAATAACCAATGTCATTAGAAACAGGTGTTGGTCATACCTGTATCATTAAATGATAAAAGACGAATGTTTAATGCTGCTAATAACTATCTTCTTTTCACTTTCAATAATTTTTTAATTTTAAACAACTTCAAATTCAATTTTTGTGAGTTGAGTAAACAAACATGTGACTCAATAGGATTGGTGTTGACTTGTGTGACACTTATGTTTACATCTTACCAAAATCCTACAATTGGTTTTATACCTCATATTATTATCTGACAGAACTCTGCTGGAATCAACATTAGTAATGGTGGACGAGTGGGTAAGGCTTCTATTATTGTTAGCCTGAGTAGGGATATTTGTTATTGATCAATCAGATGGTCTCTTTCTGTGATGTTTAGGAAATTAAAAAATTGCACCTTTCTGTTATATACAGCAACAAACAACATCATAGGGAGTAGATTTGAATTTTTACACCAAAGTGATATAGTTGTCTTTATAAGTACTTTTATCTTTTTTGACAGAATTACATATGACATTTCTTAGTCTCATTCTTAGAGGTGCATATTTTTATGCCACCATCTTGGTTTTGTGAAGAACGTCATTAGGTAACTCTGAGGTGTCTTCGAATAAGACTTTTTATTAAAATTTTGAATGTCAGTTTTTCAAATTTTGACAATGCATATATATTTAATTGATCATTAAAAAAAATGATCCCGTGTCATCAGAACAGAAAGGACATCTGAACGGAGAGATCATCAGAACAAAGATTTCAACAGGGCTCTGTCTATCCTCAATCAAGGAGGCATATAAAAAGTATTACAGAGATTGATATCTAAAAACTACTATGATAAAAATGTTGACCTTCATTTTCATACTTAGAGTTCCGAGCATCAACTCCCAGACTTATAGTCGTCACCAACATTATGACCGTTAATATTTCAGGGCAATTCAATTAATAAAAGCCGTGAATGATTTAGTATACACTGGTATGATGATCGAAAGTTATCGGGCTATGGTACACATATTTCACCCCACACAGGGTACACATATTTCACCCCACACACGGTACACATATTTCACCCCACACAGAGCACACATATTTTACCCCACACACAGTACACATATTTTACCCCACACAGGGTACACATATTTTACCCCACACGGGCACACATATTTTACCCCACGCAGGGCACACATATTTCACCCCACACAGGGTACACATATTTTACCCCACATGGTACATGTATTTCACCCCACATGGTACACATATTTTACCCCACACAGGTACACATATTTTACCCTACACGGGTACACATATTTTACCCCACACAGGGTACACATATTTTGTCCCACATAGGGCACACAACTTTTTACCACACACAGGGCACACATATTTTGCCCAACACGGGTACACATATTTTGCCCCACATAGGGCACACAACTTTTTACCACACACAGGGCACACATATTTTACCCCACACGGGTACACATATTTTGCCCCACATAGGGCACACAACTTTTTACCACACACAGGGCACACATATTTTACCCCACACGGGTACACATATTTTGCCCCACATAGGGCACACAACTTTTTACCACACACAGGGCACACATATTTTACCCCACACGGGTACACATATTTTGCCCAACATAGGGCACACAACTTTTTACCCCACACACGGTACACATATTTTACCCCACACTTGATACACATATTTTACCCCACATGGGTACACATATTTTACCCCACACTTGATACACATATTTTACCCCACACGGTTACACATATTTTACCCCACAGGGGTACACATGTTTCGTACCCATTCACAACTCCAACTTGACCTTGCCCTACTACTCGGGTACTCATAACAATCCTAATTTGTAATATACTTTGTGTTTAGTAGATATCCGATCAGAGAATGGCTTGAGTTCATGGTACCAGGAGAAAGATAAAAATGACTGACATCATTAAAATTTCTAGGGACGAGTGTGTATCATTTTAATTGATAACTTTATTTTGGATAGGAAGTATTGAACTTACGAATATGTAAATACAGGTAAAAAGCATGTCATTAAAACCTAATTTGCCTATCTAATGCAATTTCTGTGGTTTACATCATGTAAGCTTTTGGGAAAAGATGAATACAGCTTTATAGGTACACCTGACCAACAGTGATTACAGATGCTGCATAAAACCTTACAGTGTGTTTTATCCTAATTGAGATGTACTTTATCAATTAATGAAGACTGATTTGAGGCCGAAGTTCTTCTTTAACACGTACTGTCAGACCTATGTGCTATACAGTATGTTTACCTAGCTTTATAAATTCATTAGTTGACAGCTGATTACAGGGGGTAACTGTGCAGTGGCACAGCACACAATGTACGTGAAATCAGGAATAAGGAAAGAGGAGGAGCTGTAGAAGGGGGAGGTCCCTGGGATGGAAGTCATATTGAAGGAGCTGGGGAAGGGGGAGGTCCCTGGGATGGAAGTCATATTGAAGGAACTGGGGAAGGGGTAGGTCCCTGGGGTGGAAGTCATATTGAAGGAGCTGGGGAAGGGGGAGGTCCCTGGGGTGGAAGTCATATTGAAGGAGCTGAGGAAGGGGTAGGTCCCTGGGGTGGAAGTCATATTGAAAGAGCTGGGGAAGGGGGAGGTCCCTGGGATGGAAGTCATATTGAAGGAGCTGGGGAAGGGGGAGGTCCCTGGGATGGAAGTCATATTGAAGGAACTGGGGAAGGGGGAGGTCCCTGGGATGGAAGTCATATTGAAAGAGCTGGGGAAGGGGTAGGTCCCTGGGGTGGAAGTCATATTGAAGGAGCTGGGGAAGGGGGAGGTCCCTGGGGTGGAAGTCATATTGAAGGAGCTGGGGAAGGGGGAGGTCCCTGGGATCCAAGTCATATTGAAAGAGCTGGGGAAGGAGGAGGTCCCTGGGATGGAAGTCATATTGAAGGAGCTGAGGAAGGGGTAGGTCCCTGGGGTGGAAGTCATATTGAAAGAGCTGGGGAAGGGGGAGGTCCCTGGGGTGGAAGTCATATTGAAGGAACTGGGGAAGGGGTAGGTCCCTGGGGTGGAAGTCATATTGAAGGAGCTGGGGAAGGGGGAGGTCCCTGGGATGGAAGTCATATTGAAAGAGCTGGGGAAGGGGTAGGTCCCTGGGGTGGAAGTCATATTGAAGGAGCTGGGGAAGGGGGAGGTCCCTGGGGTGGAAGTCATATTGAAGGAGCTGGGGAAGGGGGAGGTCCCTGGGATCCAAGTCATATTGAAAGAGCTGGGGAAGGAGGAGGTCCCTGGGATGGAAGTCATATTGAAGGAGCTGAGGAAGGGGTAGGTCCCTGGGGTGGAAGTCATATTGAAAGAGCTGGGGAAGGGGGAGGTCCCTGGGGGTGAAGTCATATTGAAGGAGCTGGGGAAGGGGGAGGTCCCTGGGATGGAAGTCATATTGAAGGAGCTGGGGAAGGGGGAGGTCCCTGGGATGGAAGTCATATTGAAGGAACTGGGGAAGGGGGAGGTTCCTGGGATCCAAGTCATATTGAAAGAGCTGGGGAAGGGGTAGGTCCCTGGGATGGAAGTCATATTGAAGGAGCTGAGGAGGGGGGAGGTCCCTGGGATGGAAGTCATATTGAAAGAGCTTGGGAAGGGGGAGGTCCCTGGGATGGAAGTCATATTGAAGGAGATTGGGAAGGAGGAGGTCCCTGGGATGGAAGTCATATTGAAAGAGCTGGGGAAGGGGGAGGTCCCTGGGATGGAAGTCATATTGAAGGAGCTGGGGAAGGGGGAGGTCCCTGGGATCCAAGTCATATTGAAAGAGCTGGGGAAGGGGTAGGTCCCTGGGATGGAAGTCATATTGAAGGAGCTGAGGAGGGGGGAGGTCCCTGGGATGGAAGTCATATTGAAAGAGCTTGGGAAGGGGGAGGTCCCTGGGATGGAAGTCATATTGAAGGAGATTGGGAAGGAGGAGGTCCCTGGGATGGAAGTCATATTGAAAGAGCTGGGGAAGGGGGAGGTCCCTGGGATGGAAGTCATATTGAAGGAGCTAGAGGCTAATGATGGGGGGGGGGGAAAGAGGAGTTTGTAAATGTCATGATGTGGCGGGGAGAGGAATAGGGAAAGTGGGAGATGTGGTTGTTTTAAGGAGAAGGTGGTGATAGGGTAAAGGCTGGATATCATATTGTTGAAGCTAGGGAAGGTACGCGTGCGGGACGGAGAAAGGGAGAAGGGGTAGAAGTCATGGGAGCTAAGGAAAAGGGATAGAGATGGAGATAGGGGAAAGAATAGGGATGGAGATTGGGGAAAGAATGAGTTGCATTAAGGTCCTATAGTAACCAGGGTGTCCATTTGAATGTCTGTCTGTCTGTCTGTCTGTCTGTCTTTCTTTCTTTCTTTCTTTCTTTCTTTCTTGATTTCTTTCTTGATTTCTTTCTTTCTTGATTTCTTTATTTCTTTCTTGAGTTCTTTCTTTCTTTCTTGAGTTCTTTCTTTCTTGATTTCTTTCTTGATTTCTTGAGTTCTTTCTTTCTTTCTTTCTTTCTTTCTTTCTTTCTTGAGTTCTTTCTTTCTTTATTTCTTTCTTTCTTTCTTTCTTGAGTTCTTTCTTTATTTCTTTCTTTCTTTCTTTCTTTCTTTCTTTCTTTCTTTCTTTCTTTCTTTCTTTCTTTCTTTCTTTCTTTCTTTCTTTAGTTCTTTCTTTCTTGAGTTCTTGAGTTCTTTCTTTCTTGAGTTCTTTCTTTCTTTCTTTCTTTCTTTCTTTCTTTCTTTCTTTCTTGAGTTCTTTCTTTCTTTCTTGATTTCTTTCTTTATTTCTTTCTTTCTTTCTTTCTTTCTTGATTTCTTTCTTTCTTTCTTTCTTGAGTTCTTTCTTTCTTTCTTTCTTGAGTTCTTTCTTTCTTTATTTCTTTCTTTCTTTCTTTCTTGAGTTCTTTCTTGAGTTCTTTCTTTCTTTCTTGAGTTCTTTCTTGAGTTCTTTCTTTCTTTCTTTCTTTCTTTCTTTCTTTCTTTCTTTCTTTCTTGAGTTCTTTCTTTCTTTATTTCTTTCTTTCTTTCTTTCTTGAGTTCTTTCTTTTTCTTTCTTTCTTTCTTTCTTTCTTTCTTTCTTTAATACTTAACTCATTTCCTTTGCTTACACTCTTTTTTCTTTCTTTCTTTCTTTCTTTCTTTCTTTCTTTCTTTCTTTCTTTCTTCTTTCTTTCTTTCTTTCTTTCTTTCTTTTTTCTTTCTTGATTTCTTTCTTTCTTTCTTTGATTTCTTTCTTTCTTTCTTTCTTTTCTTTCTTTCTTTCTTTCTTTCTTTCTTTTCTTTCTTTCTTTCTTGAGTTCTTTCTTTCTTTCTTTCTTTCTTGAGTTCTTTCTTGAGTTCTTTCTTTCTTTCTTGAGTTCTTTAGTTCTTTCTTTCTTTCTTTCTTTCTTTCTTTCTTTCTTTCTTTCTTTCTTTCTTTCTTTCTTCTTTCTTTCTTGATTTCTTTCTTTCTTTTCTTTCTTTCTTTCTTGAGTTCTTTTTCTTTCTTTCTTTCTTTCTTGAGTTCTTTCCTTCTTTCTTTCTTTCTTTCTTTTCTTTCTTTCTTTCTTTCTTTCTTTCTTACTTTCTTCCTTCCTTCCTTCCTTTCTTCCTTCCTTTCTTTCTTTCTTTCTTTCTTTCTTTCTTTCTTGATTTCTTTCTTTCTTTCTTGAGTTCTTTCTTTCTTGAGTTCTTTCTTGAGTTCTTTCTTTCTTTCTTTCTTTCTTTCTTGATTTATTTCTTTCTTTCTTGATTTCTTTCTTTCTTTCTTTCTTTCTTTCTTTCTTCTTTCTTTCTTTCTTTCTTTCTTTCTTTCTTTTCTTGATTTCTTTCTTTCTTTCTTTTCTTTCTTTCTTTCTTTTCTTTCTTTCTTTCTTTCTTTCTTTCTTTTCTTTCTTGAGTTCTTTCTTTCTTTCTTTTCTTTCTTTCTTGAGTTCTTTTTCTTTCTTTCTTTCTTTTCTTTCTTTCTTTCTTTCTTTCTTTTGAGTTCTTTTTTTTGAGTTCTTTCTTTTCTTTCTTTCTTTCTTTCTTGAGTTCTTTCTTTCTTTCTTGAGTTCTTTCTTTTCTTTCTTTCTTTCTTTCTTTCTTTCTTTCTTTCTTTCTTTCTTTCTTTCTTTCTTTCTTTCTTTCTTTCTTTCTTTCTTTCTTTCTTTCTTCTTTTCTTTCTTAGTTCTTTCTTTCTTTCTTTTTTCTTTCTTGAGTTCTTTCTTTCTTTCTTTCTTTCTTTCTTTCTTTCTTTCTTTCTTTCTTTCTTTCTTTCTTTCTTTTCTTTCTTTTTCTTCTTTCTTTCTTGAGTTCTTTCTTTCTTTCTTTCTTTTCTTTTTCTTTCTTTCTTTCTTTCTTTCTTTCTTTCTTTTTTTCTTTCTTTCTTGAGTTCTTTTTGAGTTCTTTCTTTCTTCTTTTCTTTCTTTTTTTCTTTCTTTCTTTCTTTCTTTCTTTCTTTCTTTCTTTTCTTTCTTTCTTTCTTTCTTTTGAGTTCTTTTTCTTTCTTTCTTTCTTTCTTTCTTTCTTTCTTTTTGATTTCTTTCTTTCTTTCTTGAGTTCTTTCTTTCTTCTTTCTTTCTTTTTTCTTTCTTTCTTTCTTTCTTGAGTTCTTTCTTTCTTTTCTTTCTTTCTTTCTTTTTCTTTTTCTTTCTTTCTTTCTTTCTTTCTTTCTTTCTTTCTTTTTTCTTTCTTTCTTTCTTGAGTTCTTTCTTTTCTTTCTTTCTTTCTTTCTTTCTTTCTTTCTTGAGTTCTTTCTTTTCTTTCTTTCTTTCTTGAGTTCTTTCTTTCTTTCTTTCTTTGAAGATCTTTCTTTCTTGGGATTCTTTTCAGTTCATCAAATTCTTGGTAACTTTTTCTTTCTTTCAGTTTCAGTTTTCTTTCTTTCTAATTTCTTTCTTACTGAATGTGTGTGCTTAGGATTGCTTTACAGTTTTGAAGGTTAAAAGGTCAAGGTCACTGTTACTATGGCCAAACAAATTTTTAAAAGTAACTTTTCTTTCTTTCTTTCTGACCAATCTAATGCAAACTTCTTTCATGTGTGTGCTTTAGTTCTTTTTTCCTGGCCAAACAAATTTTTTCTTAGGGGTGGAGGGGGGGTCGGTGGAGGGATTTGGGGTGCAGGGTTCGAGGGGGGTCTCAGGTGGATTGGTGGTGATGATGGTGGTGATGGTGGTGGTGGTGGTGGTGGTGGTGGTGGTGGTGAAATTTTCAGCCACATAACAGTGTTCTTGCTGACCGGTCAGTGTCCTAGTTATTCAAGGTATTAGTAATATAACTGTGACACTGAAGGCAATTTAAGTCTATTTCCTCTCAAGAATTTTAGTATTTTGCATATTTTTTTACCCTGGAGACATTCCTATTGTTTATGTAAACACCTTATTTTTTCCCTTTACAGTTCAATACCTAGTTTGGAGATCAATCTTGAAAGAATTGAAAGAGATACAGATCAGGTTTATATTACCTGTCAGTCACCTCATTGAGTGATCCCCTTAAGACATATGTATGTAGACTGCATGCCAAGCTTTTACATACTGGCGGAAGTCAGTGTATAGGTAACTGGATAGTTTTATCACTATAACCCCAGTGTACATCAAACTGCACGATCGTTTACTTCTAGGCTGAACTACACAGGAACATGTAGAAGAAGAAACAGTGACAAAAATATTGTGAATAACATTTCTATACAGGTAGGCAAGTCAGTGCATAGAGAACCTGGGCAGATATGTTTATTTCATTTCATTACATGACTTCTGTATTGTAAAACTACATGACTTATGTATTGTAACACTACATGACTTCTGTATTGTAAAACTACATGACTTATGTATTTTAAAACTACATGACTTCTGTATTGTAACACTACATGACTTCTGTATTGTAAAACTACATGACTTATGTATTGTAATGTAAAACTACATGACTTATGTATTGTAAAACTACATGACTTCTGTATTGTAACACTACATGACTTCTGTATTGTAAAACTGATGAGAAATAAGGCTCATCATTCCTTTTTTATGTTTGGAAATTGAAACGAGGGCCAGATCTGGGAACATATAAAATTTGAATAAACAATAAATATTGTTTTGTGAAATATATATATTTCATCACATTCATTAAACTACTGGTTCAGATTTACACAAGTTACTAGTGAAGGCAGACTGGTTTCTTTTTGAAATTATAAAATTGACAAAGAAGGCAAATATAAGACAGACTATTTTTAAATCTGTAAATTAAAGTCAGGTTAGAGTTTTACAAAGTTTGATATTTACAGCACAAATGTGTTGTGTTCAAGGCTAATTGTTCAGAAACATGGTGTTTCAAGGGAAAAGCTCTGCACAAACTGCTGAACCATGTTTTATAAGGGGCATGCTGTTGAAAACTATGCTAGAACCATGTTTTATAAGGGGCATGCTGTTTAAAACTACACGTGAACCATGTTTTATAAGGGGCATGCTGTTTAAAACTATGCTAGAACCGTGTTTTATAAGGGGCATGCTGTTTAAAACTATTCTAGAACCGTGTTTTATAAGGGGCATGCTGTTTAAAACTACACGTGAACCATGTTTTATAAGGGGCATGCTGTTTAAAACTATGCTAGAACCATGTTTTATAAGGGGCATGCTGTTTAAAACTATGCTAGAACCATGTTTTATAAGGGGCATGCTGTTTAAAACTACACGTGAACCATGTTTTATAAGGGGCATGCTGTTTAAAACTATACTTGAACCATGTGTTCCAGAAGGAGCAAGGTTGTACAAAACAGATGAAAATCTAATTAAGGTTTTTTTTTTTGACTGTCAGGAAAATGTATAATTCCACTAAAAAAAAATACAGTAAAATCTATCCTGTAGTTACACTATTATGAATGTCGGTGACAAAGTGTTGTACCTTGGGTCATTGCCCTCAGGTGATTTGTGACAGTGTTAAAACACTCAACAACTTAGTATACATTGGTCAACCTAGTGAAATAAAATTGTTTTCAACTTGTAGTATACAAACCATGTGTTCCAGGGCTCGCTATATACACAAACCATGTGTCCTAGGGGACTTGTAGTACACAAACCATGTGTTCCAGAGCTGCTATATACACAAACCGTGTGTTCCAGGCCTTGCTATATACACAAATCATGTGTTCCAGGGCTCGCTATATACACAAACCATGTGTTCCAGGGCTTGCTATATACACAAACCATGTGTTCCAGAGCTGCTATATACACAAACCGTGTGTTCCAGGGCTCGCTATATACACAAACCATGTGTTCCAGGGCTCACTACATACAGAAACCATGTGTTTCAGGGGACTTGTAGTACACAAATGGTGTGTTCCAGGGCTTGCTATATACACACACTGTTTGTTCCAGGGGAAAAGCTATATATTAAAAAACATGTATTCAAGGGTCTTGTAGTACACAAACTGTGTGTTCCAGGGCTCGCTATATACACAAACCATGTGTTCCAGGGCTTACTATATACACACACTGTGTGTTCCAGGGCTTGCTATATACACAAACCGTGTGTTCAAGGGCTTTCTATATACACACACTGTGTGTTCCAGGGGAATAGCTATGTATTAAAAAACATGTATTCAATGGTCTTGTAGTACACAAACCATGTATCTCATTTAGCTAGCTGCACAATAAAATAAGCTGTTCCAAAAAGCTAGCTTCACTAAAGTAAAGATACATACCGTTTTTCCAAGGCCAGGTATGCAGAGCAAGCAAATTTTGTGTACTATGGTTAAATTCATACTATCATATGTTTGACTGTTAATTCTGTGTTTTTCATTAAAGCTATTGATTATTTTTATTGTTTTTTGACATAAAAGTCCGTTTTAATTCCTTGTCATTTCAAAGTTTGAATTTCATCTGATGCATTCCTAGAACAATAAACAATCCAAGTAACTGTATTATTATGAAGGAAAATCTTGGGAAATGTTGTTGAATCATGCTGTTATTTGATATACTGTTTCCGCATCAAGGAAAGGAAAGTTTCATTGTAAATTACTTGAAGGAGGAAAAACCTGTTATATTCCCCCATTGTATCAAACACCTAACTTTGTAGATCTGACTGTTTGTACAGCTGCATCCTTTCTCTTTTATACATCACTGTCATTGACCCAATTTCAACAGGTTTGTAATTAAACAGAACCAAATTAGTGTAGATCTGCTGACATCTTGCTGCCTGGAAATACAATACACCAATCAGATCACAGGTCATAAGTCTGTTGTAATTAAATCTGGGGCCATCCATGGGAAAATATTCCACTGTAGTTTTTAAAAAGTTTGGGGCCATCCAAGGGAGAATATTCCACTGTAGGTTTGAAAAATTTGGGGCCATCCAAGGGAGAATATTCCACATTAGGCTTGACAAATCTGGGGCCATCCAAGGGAGAATATTCCACTGTAGATTGAAAAATCTGGGGCCATCCAAGGGAGAATGTTCCACTGTTGAATTGAAAAATCTAGGGCCATCCAAGGGAGAATATTCCTCTCTAAAAGACTCTAACTTGGGGCCAACTGAAGGGAAATTTGTTATAATCCGCTATATGTCTGACAAACCTTGGGCCATCTCAGGCAAAATATTTCTCTGTGTGTCAGATAAATCCAGGGCCTTTCAAGGGACAAAATTCCATTGAATCTGACAAATTTGGGTCCTTCCAATGGTTCTTGACAAATCTGGGTCAAACATCAAATTCAAAGCCAGGGAGTGGACTTATTACACTACTATAACAGCCTTCATTGGTCATTCCACAGGCAAATAGTGGAAGGTATGAGTGGGCTTATTACCAGGCATGGGCTTATTGACAGATAAACATGATATTTTGGAAAACAAATTGGTTTTGATAAATTGTATATTGGAGACTATTATGATTTGAGATTGAACAAAGATGATGTCTGTTATGGAAATTATGAATTTAGAATACAGTTTCTGAATCAGAGTTTAACATAATGTATTAGTCCAATCAAAGAAATATGTCTGTTTCCAGTTTATCATGGTAAATATACATTAAGGTAAGTACTTTGCTGTATTTTTTTTTACAGATGAATGGGGTCTTCTTATACCACTTTCTTAAATATTCAGTAAAAAGTCGACACAAAGATTTCAGGTTGGTAATGGAAACAGGAAACGAAACATGTGTTTAATATGCTATAGTATGTGGTAATTGGTCCTATCAGGCTGAGCGGGTACATGTTATCTGGACTGGAAAGTATGCTGTTCCCCTGGCTATAAATGACTGATTAATTATTGTGTACATATTATCTGCAGTGTTCTATCCTAATCATGTTTTTGGGAAGAGCGTGGGCGATGTTGAGGTGTTGTAAGGAGTATGTGTAGTATAATTCTGATTCAGCCACTGTGATGCACTATGTGAACTAATGCTTTACATTAGTATATATCATTTCTGCTACAGTGTAAAATTAGACAATTTCAAGTGTTTCAAATGTTAGCTGTCCTATATTTATTTTAGCTTTTCTAGTGAAGTAATATTGTGTCATCATTTTATTTCATTGCTATTTGTTAAAATTACTTAGACCTAACTGGAAACACTTGAGCACCAACAGTGATACTGTTGAATTGATGCTGTGAGCAACTCATTAGGTCCTCATTCCTTGTTCTATTGCCAGCCTGTTGATTATACATAATGTATTTATGTATGATGTGTCTAGTGAAATAGTTGTACAATCAACGATGGATGTTGTGTATGATTGCTCCAGACACTTACACTACCTTACATGTTGTATACCTTTAGCTGTGACTCATAACACTGTGATCATTTGTGATCTACCTTTCCTTACACCCCTATTGTCTCATACCACTTTATCTTCCATATCAGTAGTGAGTTACCTCCCTTTTATGCCCCTATTGTCTCATACCACTTTATCTTCCATATCAGTAGTGAGTGAGTTACCTCCCTTTTACACCCCTATTGTCTCATACCACTTTATCTTCCATATCAGTAGTGAGTTACCTCCCTTTTACACCCCTATTGTCTCATACAACTTTATCTACCATATCAGTAGTGAGTTACCTCCCTTTTACACCCCTATTGTCTCATTGTGGGGAGCATTGAGAAAGATGTAATTATGGTACACATTGACATTGTGGGGAACATTGAGAAAGATGTAATTATGGTACACAATGACATTGTGGGGAACATTGAGAAAGATGTAATTATGGTACACATTGACATTGTGGGGAACATTGAGAAAGATGTAATTATTGTACACAATGACATTGTGGGGAACATTGAGAAAGATGTAATTATGGTACACAATGACATTGTGGGGAACATTGAGAAAGATGTAATTATGATACACAATGACATTGTGGAGAACATTGAGAAAGATGTAATTATGGTACACATTGACATTGTGGGGAACATTGAGAAAGATGTAATTATGGTACACATTGACATTGTGGGGAACATTGAGAAAGATGTAATTATGATACACAATGACATTGTGGGGAACATTGAGAAAGATGTAATTATGGTACACATTGACATTGTGGGGAACATTGAGAAAGATGTAATTATGGTACACATTGACATTGTGGGGAACATTGAGAAAGATGTAATTATGGTACACATTGACATTGTGGGGAACATTGTGAAAGATGTAATTATGGTTCACTCTTTGACTTTGAGGGAAACACATTACAGGAACATTGAATGCTAAATGATACAAAAAGGCATATTTTTGATATAGTTAACCTGGATGTTGTTAGGAACATATCTGTGGTTTTAATTTAAGTGTCAATGATCTTTTGGTACAACCTTGTGGGGACCATTGACCACAGGAATTTGTTATTAAATCTTAATGATCTGTGAAAGACATGTTTCCGGTACAACCTTGATGTTGTGGGGAACATTGACGTTGTGGGGACCATTGACCACAGGAATTTGTTATTAAATCTTAATGATCTGTGAAAGACATGTTTCCGGTACAACCTTGATGTTGTGGGGAACATTGACCACAGGAATTTGTTATTAAATCTTAATGATCTGTGAAAGACATGTTTCCGGTACAACCTTGATGTTGTGGGGAACATTGACGTTGTGGGGAACATTGACCACAGGAATTTGTTATTAAATCTTAATGATCTGTGAAAGACATGTTTCCGGTACAACCTTGATGTTGTGGGGAACATTGACCACAGGAATTTGTTATTAAATCTTAATGATCTGTGAAAGACATGTTTCCGGTACAACCTTGATGTTGTGGGGAACATTGACGTTGTGGGGAACATTGACCACAGGAATTTGTTATTAAATCTGAATGATCTGTGAAAGACATGTTTCCGGTACAACATTGACGTTGTGGGGAACATTGATCATGGGAATATGTGGTTAACTCTGAATGATAAGAGGGACACTATGAGTGAAATTTGTGATAAAGCCAGAACGATCAGTGAAACAGCCAATTTAGTTGAAGAGAGGGAAACTGGCCTGAACCATGGGAGCTTATACAAACATATTGATGTTTTCATTGTGGTAGTTCAGACTCTTTGTTGTCTGGATAGCTGGTTAGTTTTCCTTAAGTTATCTTACAAAACATTTAATGTTGGGTTATAATTAAAAAAGGCATCTTATCTTTAACAACTCGTATTTTACCTTATTTTACATTATATGTCTACATAAACATACAAGAATATTTTTGAAGTTGAAGTTTGAGGTGTTGTTTCTGTTGAGAGAAGACTAACCTGGTCCAAGTAGTGCGAGAGCTGTACTGGCCAGCTGCCATCACATAGGTACATTGGGTTTATATACATGCAAGGCTGCTGACTCTTGATGGAGGCACAAAACAGGGTTTATTGTCCTACCATTCTACAGAAAACATAAACAACATCAAGATTGAAAGTCAGCTGTCAGTAAAGTCACTGGTGACAATAAAGTCAGCTGTCAGTAACGTCAGATGTCAGTAACGTCAGGTGTCAGTAAAGTCAGCTGTCAGTAAAGTCAGCTGTCAGTAACGTCAGGTGTCAGTAACGTCAGGTGTCAGTAAAGTCACTGGTGACAATAAGGTCAGCTGTCAGTAAAGTCACTGGTGACAATAAAGTCAGCTGTCAGTAACGTCAGCTGTCAGTAAAGTCACTGGTGACAATAAAGTCAGCTGTCAGTAAAGTCACTGGTAACAATAAAGTCAGCTGTCAGTAAAGTCACTGGTGACAATAAAGTCAGCTGTCAGTAAAGTCAGCTGTCAGTAAAGTCACTGGTGACAATAAAGTCAGCTGTCAGTAAAGACAGGTGTCAGTAAAGTCACTGGTGACAATAAAGTCAGCTGTCAGTAAAGACAGGTGTCAGTAAAGTCAGGTGTCAGTAATGTCACTGGTGACAATAAAGTCAGCTGTCAGTAAAGTCACTGGTGACAATAAAGTCAGCTGTCAGTAAAGTCACTGGTGACAATAAAGTCAGCTGTCAGTAAAGTCACTGGTGACAATAAAGTCAGCTGTCAGTAACGTCAGCTGTCAGTAAAGTCAGCTGTGAGTGTCACTGGTGTAAAGTCAGCTGTCAGTAAAGTCACTGGTGACAATAAAGTCAGCTGTCAGTAAAGTCACTGGTGACAATAAAGTCAGCTGTCAGTAACGTCAGCTGTCAGTAAAGTCAGCTGTCAGTAAAGTCACTGGTGACAATAAAGTCAGCTGTCAGTAAAGTCAGCTGTCAGTAAAGTCACTGGTGACAATAAAGTCAGGTGTTAGTGACAATAAAGTCAGCTGTCAGTAAAGTCAGCTGTCAGTAAAGTCACTGGTGACAATAAAGTCAGGTGTTAGTAAAACCAGGTGTCTGTAACGTCAGCTGTCAGGAACGTCAGCTGTCAGTAATGTCAGGTGTCAGTAACGTCAGCTGTCAGTAAAGTCACTGGTAACAATAAAGTCAGCTGTCAGTAAAGTCACTGGTGACAATAAAGTCAGCTGTCAGTAAAGTCACTGGTGACAATAAAGTCAGCTGTCAGTAAAGTCACTGGTAACAATAAAGTCAGCTGTCAGTATAGTCACTGGTGACCATAAAGTCAGCTGTCAGTAAAGTCACTGGTAACAATAAAGTCAGCTGTCAGTAAAGTCACTGGTGACAATAAAGTCAGCTGTCAGTAAAGTCACTGGTGACAATAAAGTCAGGTGTTAGTAAAACCAGGTGTCTGTAACGTCAGGTGTTAGTAACACCAGGTATCTGTAACGTCAGGTGTTAGTAAAACCAGGTGTCAGTAACGTCAGGTGTTAGTAAAACCAGGTGTCTGTAACATCAGGTGACACCAAAAGTCAGGTGTAAGTAAAGTCAGGTGTCAGTAAAGTCAGGTGATACCTAAAGTCAGGTGACACCAAAAGTCAGGTGTCAGTAAAGCCAGGTGTCAGTTAAGTCAAGTGACACCTAAAGTCAGGTGACACCAAAGTCAGGTGTCAGTAAAGTCATGTTAAAGCAAAGTTTGTTGTCAATGCATGCTTGAAAATCAACACCTGCTTATATGTTTCTATATTTTGATCTTTGACTTCAATCAAGGAAAAAGATGAATGGGTCATTTAATTACAACAGGTGAGCATGCCCTGATAAACTAATCAATGAAATCTGTCTGATATACATAGTAACAATTTCCTATGATTCTACAGACAAAAGATTAACATCCCACACTGAGGAGAGACCAGTAGGGAGACAGGAGGTTAAAATGATATGTGATGAAATTTTGTGATAAGTTTGTCCATCCAAGTTTATCTGTGATAGATTTGTCCATCCAAGTTTATCTGTGATAGATTTGTCCATCCAAGTTTATCTGTTATAGATTTGTCCATCCAAGTTTATCTGTTATAGATTTGTCCATCCAAGTTTATCTATTATAGATTTGTCCATCCAAGTTTATCTGTGATAGATTTGTCCATCCAAGTTTATCTGTGATAGATTTGTCCATCCAAGTTTATCTATTATAGATTTGTCCATCCAAGTTTATCTGTGATAGATTTGTCCATCCAAGTTTATCTGTGATAGATTTGTCCATCCAAGTTTATCTGTGATAGATTTGTCCATCCAAGTTTATATCTGTATAGATTTGTCCATCCAAGTTTATCTGTGATAGATTTGTCCATCCAAGTTTATCTGTGATAGATTTGTCCATCCAAGTTTATCTGTGATAGATTTGTCCATCCAAGTTTATCTGTGATAGATTTGTCCATCCAAGTTTATCTGTTATAGATTTGTCCATCCAAGTTTATCTGTGATAGATTTGTCCATCCAAGTTTATCTGTGATAGATTTGTCCATCCAAGTTTATCTATTATAGATTTGTCCATCCAAGTTTATCTGTGATAGATTTGTCCATCCAAGTTTATCTGTGATAGATTTGTCCATCCAAGTTTATCTGTGATAGATTTGTCCATCCAAGTTTATCTGTGATAGATTTGTCCATCCAAGTTTATCTATTATAGATTTGTCCATCCAAGTTTATCTGTTATAGATTTGTCCATCCAAGTTTATCTATTACAGATTTGTCCATCCAAGTTTATCTATGATCGGTTTGTCCATCCAAGTCTATGGTTTGTATTGTTTTTGCAAAGTAGATGTAATAAATTGTTTATGTTTTACAGGTTATGATACATCACTTCTAACTCGACTTGTGTCAGTGGCTTGAATGGGTCCTAATGATGCAGCTTGTGATGGTTCCGAGTTGACACCTTAGTCATGTCTCTAAAGTTGGAGAGTGTAAACAAAACACTGACTAATTACTCCACTTTGTCATAATAGTTCAGGACAGTGATTTGGAAAATACCCTATTTAGTCCAAATCACTTGAGATTAAAATGGCTGCAGAACGACCTAAATTGACGGAGCTTACTGATTGGTCCAATATTCATGTGATCAGTGAGAATGTGGAGACACCTGGGAGTGAAAGTATTGGGCAACAGTCATCTGTCAGTGCATATTCTGTGGGAAGTCGCTGTCAGTTCCTCAAGGGCAAAACGGAAAAAGATGCTTACGTGGAGGCAAGGATACAGACGATGACTGAGGATAACAAACGTGACAAAGATCCAGACAGCCAAGAGTGCGGACTTGGACAATGCAGACCGTCCTGTCTTCAGTACTTTGCCAACATCAAGTCATTTGTGGTCTGTATGAGTTTGTTACTTGCTACCTCAGGAACCATGTCAACAGGATATTTCAACAGCGTCATCACAACAATTGAAAAGCGATTTGAAATTGGAAGTTCTGTGTCGGGCCTTATAGCAGCTTCATATGAGTTTGGGTCGCTTGTGACGGTCATCTTCATCAGCTACCTAGGTGGGCGTCGCCACATTCCACGGTGGATTGGTTATGGAATTATATTTATGGGGTTTGGGGCACTGTTGATTGTGCTGCCACATGTCCTGGCAGAGAAGTATACCGTTCACCAAGGTATAATGTCAAATGAGACGGAAGAAAATATCTGCAAGGCTGATGACAAGAGTGGGCCATTCGGGGACAAGTGTATTAGTGAGGGTTCTGGAAACGTGGGCAATGTTCTTATCCTTATCTTTGCCCAGGTGCTCATTGGGACAGGTGGAACGCCCATTCTCACACTTGGCACAACCTATGTAGACGACCATGTGTCGAAGGATAAGGCACCAGTATACTTAGGTATGTTTTATTTTTATATACAAATATAACAAATGAAAGCTTTAGATGCCCAACAGTTAAGCATTATATGTAACATTATACATGTAATACAAAATGATATTTAAGCAAAATTAGCCTGTAATAAGCCCAGGGCTCATTTTAATGATTTTAATGCAATGTTATGTTGTATATTTTGCCAAAAAGGAGGCGGCCATCTTTACTTTTGACAATGAAAGTTTCTTATCATTATTTCTTGAGAAGTTCTAAATATATCTTTCTCAAATTTCATATATAAGTACCCCTTGGTCCCTAGTTGTTCTGTTTGATTTTGGAATGATCAAAGAAACAATATGGCTGATGGGCGGCAATCTTTTTCATAGTAGAATTTTCTAATCGCTATTTTTTGAAAAGTACCGGATGGTTCTCTCTCAAATTTTATTCAAACATCTTTTGTCCTAGCTTGTAGTGCCCCTTTGATTTTGGGACAGATCAGAAAAAAACAAATGGCTGATAGATGACGAACTTCAATTTGGCAATTAATGAAACATATAAAAGTATTTTTAAATTTCGTAAGAGCAAAAACAAAGGAGAGAAGGGAAAAGATCCTACTTTTAAAGACTGATTAAAGGTCAGACAGTGTTTGATGCCAAGATCCCTCTGGGATCTTTCTTATTTTACATCTTTACAGAAACCTTGCATGAACCAACAATATCAGTTACACCTGTAGATAATTTTTTTTGTTTCAGCTTTTATCTATGCCTCTGGCGTGTTAGGTCCCGTCCTTGGATATGCCCTGGGGGCCCTGTTGTTGCAGTATTACGTCGATATGTTTATCTATGAAGTGGATATCGTACCTGGGGATCCACAGTGGATCGGAGCTTGGTGGGGAGGGTTCATAATCTGTGGAGGCATATTCTTTACATTATCAATTCCGTTTATGGCCTTTCCTAAAGTCCTCGTGAAGGAGAAACGCAAACTGCTGGAACTGAAAGCCAAAGAAGATCTGCTGAGTCAAGATGATCTTCAGTCTCGACACAGTGATGACTATGGCAAAACCATCAAAGGTAATAGTCTGTTGCAGAAATCATGGAGTAGAAACCAAATTTAATTCCATCACAAAACCATAGAGTTATTGTTTTATTCCTCCTGGTTGAAAAATGGTCAACCAAAAATATTTTTTCATTACGGGAAACACTGTGGTGAAGAGCATTGAATGTAAAATATGAGTAAAAGATTTGATTTTGTTTATCAAATGAAACACGCGGTAAACTTAGATTTTTTATGTTCTTGTGAAGACCCAACAAATTTTTACCCAGTATATAGCAATTTTTTAATATGAATATTCCAAATTTATTCACGTTTTTTTTTTCCTATTCACTGGATTTTGATGAAGATGAAATTGATTACTGGCATATAGAAAATAAATCAAAATATCTGAAGCTAAGGGATGTAACTCTTGTTTCAATAGTGACACAATGTAATTTAAAGAGCTAAAGAACATAAATATTGTGTGACACGGTCCAGGATACATTTGTTAACTGTCTTGGTTTTCAGATTATAAAAATCAACAATATGAGTATATCGGTAATGATGCTGTGTTTGAAGTAAAACGTAAGGACCTTAATGTATATATTCCTCACTAGCCTGATGGTGCACGAGTGTTTGTGGAACGTCAAGTGCACGTAGGATGATGGGATGATTGTCACAAACATGTTTATGATAAAACAATTGTGCCATTGTCAGGAACACATGGGTTGATGGGATGTCAAGTACACATAGGTTGATAGGATAATTGTCAGGTACACATGGGTTGATGGAATGTCAGGTACACATGGGTTGATGGGATGTCAGGTACACATGGGTTGATGGGATAATTGTCAGGAACACATGGGTTGATGGGATGTCAAGTACACATAGGTTGATAGGATAATTGTCAGGTACACATGGGTTGTACACATGGGTTGATGGGATGTCAGGTACACATGGGTTGATGGGATAATTGTCAGGTACACATGGGTTGATGGGATAATTGTCAGGTACACATGGGTTGATGGGATGTCAGGTACACATGGGTTGATGGGATGTCAGGTACACATGGGTTGATGGGATAATTGTCAGGTACACATGGGTTGATGGGATGTCAGGTACACATGGGTTGATGGGATGTCAGATACACATGGGTTGATGGGATGTCAGATACACATGGGTTGATGGGATGTCAGATACACATGGGTTGATGGATTGTCAGGTACACATGGGTTGATGGGATGTCAGATACACATGGGTTGATGGGACAATTGTCAGGTACTTTGTTGATGAGATGATTGTCTTTGGACCTAGGTTTACTTAAAACATGATTTCTTTTGTCTGTCAACAATGTATGTTATCATACATCATTGTGTAATACTGACGAAAATTTTCAGTTTTATCATACAGTGATTGCAGTGGAACAAAGTTTCTATTGTAAAGTAAAATTGTTTAACTTTTTTCTGGAATTGATACATTTACAACTGATTTAAAAAACAGAACAAAATAATAATGATAAAATGTGGATTGAAAATGGATCAAGCCTAAATAATTGATTGTTTTTTCTTGTTTTGGTCTTTTTTAACATTTAATATAGATAATATATTCAAACTGCAGATTCCGTCTTGATTTACGATTTTACTTCATAAACAGTCCACATATGTGCCACACAAATTTAAGTACAATAGATAGGTGGTCTCCTGGGTTACTAGTTATTGGGTCAAAGGGAGACAACCCTTGTTACACCACACATCAAGAATCATACCACTGAAGACTTTATCATCTTCTGCGGTTATATAAACCATTGTGACATTCAAAATTTTATTACAAGATAAAGTTGTACTAACTGATCAATAATCTAGTAAGGGTAAATAATGCTCAACACCTGTAGAGATTTTATAGACAAAATTGTAGCTCATATTTATAAATTCTTTTTATTTCAAATCATGGATTTTATAATTTCCAGAATATGTCTTTTCATTTTATTACAAATATTTGAATCAAGAAAGGGCAAAGTAGGGAATGGAACTGTAAATTTAAAGTTTGTTGTTATTTTGAAGTGCTTCAATTTCTGGCAGAAGGGTGTGCAGATTTAATCAGAAAAACAGTAACATTGAAATGAAACCAGGATCGGAGTAATTTATTGCACATGTATGTATGGACAATTTAATGTCTGCAGATAACATATGTAAGTGTCCATAATTAATTTGTCTAGTTTTACTACATTTCCTGTTGAGACACATTATTATGCTAATAAGATGATGTATTGTATAACATGGAAATCCATATTTTCTACCAACTGTCAATTCACCACACAAAATGTCTTATAAAAGGAGTCTTTATTATTTTCGTTATTATTTTTTTTATTTTTTCAAACAATATTTTTGAAGTTGTCATTTAAAAAAGAAAAAAGAGCAATTATTGATGGAAACTTGTAAAACAAAGACGATTTTGGACTTGTAAATCTCATTTTAAAGTGGTACTTTCTGTGTGTTTGGTGATTTGGAAATGTTTATCCCTTTGTGTAAGTGTTTAAATTCACACACACATATCAGCAACATCAGCAGATTTCCAGAACATTAATTCACACCTGACACTTGTTATGCTTTGCTGCTCTATATACTTGTACTGGGTTGCTTGCTTCAGATAATAAGTTCCCCTTGGGACACCCATAGACTCTTTTGAAAATAATTACCCTTTGGGACACCCATACACTCATTTGAAAATAATGTCCCCTCTCTCTCTCTCTCTCCCTCCCTCCATCTCCCTCCATCTCCCTCCATCTCTCTCTCACTCTCTCTCTGTCTTATTATATATATATATATATATATTATGAATACATATAATAAGACAGAGACAGAAATCTAAGTTAGCAGTAGACTACTTTCCTCAGAGTGTGACGTGCAATTGTTTTAGTTGCGATCATATATATGCAGTGTCTAGAGTGCAAAAGATAACGAGATTTATGTAAAACATTTTTGATATTTTAATCACTATCAACAACAAGGTTTTTTTTCTATTATAAAGGGCCTTTGGTGTCCATCGGCCAAAGGGGTTATCAAGACACCTAAATTTACAATACAACTTTCGGGTTTATGTTCTATGTATGTGATGTAACCTATGTAATATTTGTGTCTTGATAAAGGGGCAGATTGCCTCGGAAATTTGACAATTTTGCTTGTCTACTGTTGCTATGCTATTACTTCATTGATCATATATCTTTCCCAGTAATACGCATCCAACGAACATTTGTTTGTTAGGATCCAGTACCAATATTGGACCATACCGTCGATATTACTTACTAGATTCTATATATAGAAGATCCAGTACCGATATTGGACCATACCGTCGATATTACTTACTAGATTCTATATATCTATTTAAATATATATATGTATATATATATATATATATACACAACATCTAACCATTAACCTGTACTAAAAGCTATATACTCCATTGTTTGGGAGTGGTATAATGGATGATGTATTAATTTGTAGATGTAATGGGGATTCTGGTTTAGTGTATTCATACTTAATATTAAATGTCACAATAATCCTATCCTTGTCTATATACCAATATATCCAGGTGTCAACACTAACTCGTTAAGTCTCTTATATATTATGATGTCTGGATTAACACAGTTGTTATGATATTGGAAGTTTATTGATATAAAGTCAATACAGGTTTAGTGTTGACTTTCACATTGACCTCTAACTTTATAAATATAACGGCATGGTCAGTTTCCTGTGTATACATGGCAGTTCATGGAGTGATAAACGCATCAAACAGATATAAAGATCGAGAGACCTCCAGCTAAATTGGCTTTTTCTTGTAATGGTTTCATTGACAAGCTGATCAGAAACATAGGTACACATATCACTGTTTGTGCACAAATTTGCTCCAACAAGAGAATTCACTCAGCTTGATAATTTAATGGCACAGCCAACACCTTCACAATTCACCTGTATACAAGTCTTTACGTCATATCAAATAACGTGGTAGAAAAGATACTGTCTGGTAATTGTGACTAAGTAGTACTGTCAAATCCCAGAGAGACATTATAATGGGGAAGATAATCCTTTGTTTTAATTTTGAAACTTGTATTACAGTAAGTTTTATATGACATGTATAAAGAGAGGTAAGTCTACAGACTTTACTAAAGGGAGATGATCCACATACTGATTACCCTATTTTTATGTTTTTATGACAGACATTCCACGCTCCATCCTTAATTTATTGACCAACAAGATCTACCTAATCACATGTCTCGGGATCTGCTGCGAGATATCCATTGTCAGCGGATTTGTTGTCTTTCTGCCCAAATACCTGGAAACTCAGTTTGGAACGTCCAAGTCTGTTGCTAATCTGTTTACAGGTAAGTCACCTGTACAAGGCTTACTACTGCTTGTTTATAGATAAGTCACCTGTACCAGGCTCCCTGCTGCTTGTTTATAGGTAAGTCACCTGTACCAGGCTCCCTGCTGCTTGTTTATAGGTAAGTCACCTGTACAAGGCTCCCTGCTGCTTGTTTACAGGTAAGTCACCTGTACAAGGCTCCCTACTGCCTGTTTACAGGTAAGTCACCTGTACCAGGCTTCCTACTACTTGTTTACAGGTAAGTCACCTGTACAAGGCTCCCTACTGCCTGTTTACAGGTAAGTCACCTGCACCAGGCTTCCTGCTACTTGTTTACAGGTAAGTCACCTGCACCAGGCTTCCTGCTGTATGTTTACAGGTAAGTCACCTGTACAAGGCTCCCTGCTGCTTGTTTACAGGTAAGTCACCTGTACAAGGCTCCCTGCTGCTTGTTTACAGGTAAGTCACCTGTACAAGGCTTCCTGCTGCTTGTTTACAGGTAAGTCACCTGTACAAGGCTCCCTGCTGCTTGTTTACAGGTAAGTCACCTGTACAAGGCTCCCTACTGCCTGTTTACAGGTAAGTCACCTGCACCAGGCTTCCTACTGCTGCTTGTTTACAGGTAAGTCACCTGTACAAGGCTTCCTGCTGCTTGTTTACAGGTAAGTCACCTGTACAAGGCTCCCTGCTGCTTGTTTACAGGTAAGTCACCCGTACAAGGCTCCCTACTGCCTGTTTACAGGTAAGTCACCTGCACCAGGCTTCCTACTGCTTGTTTACAGGTAAGTCACCTGTACAAGGCTCCCTGCTGCTTGTTTACAGGTAAGTCACCTGTACCAGGCTTCCTACTGCTTACAGTTTTGTTAATCAACCTCAGGTGTATCATGTTAATACATGAGAGTAAATTACGATTTCAAATCTATCATGATTATTTGTACAGTTGATCTACTGATATATGTGTTCTGAGGAATTCATGCCTTTAATTGCTCATCATTTCCAGATTGAAAGTTTTTTCTATATCAGTGTTCACAAAAGCATGAATTCATGAATATATCTAAAGAGGTAAAGTGATTTACAGTAATATTTGATGTGTCCTGGGCTTTTTCCATTTTACATTTAAGGATACCATTTAACATGGGGGAAATACAAGTTATAATTGTCGAAAATAACCACATATGGTAAAGAATTAAAATCTTGTTACACTCAGTAGATCAATTTCTTTACACTGATCAATTTCTTTACACTGATCAATTTCTTTACACTGACCAATTTCTTTACACTGATCAATTTCTTTACACTGACCAATTTCTTTACACTGATCAATTTCTTTACACTGACCAATTTCTTTACACTGACCGATTTCTTTACACTGACCAATTTCACAGGTCTGATGTTTCCATGGCCAGTATCCCTTTTATAAGTGTTAATCTGAAACTTTAGAAATTTGAGTCGAGAATTACTGTTGTCATGGTGACTGTTTTGTTGTGTAAGAGTTACTCTTGTCATGGTGACTGTTTTGTTGTATAAGAGTTACTCTTGTCATGGTGATTGTTTTGTTGTGTAAGATTTACTGTTGTCATGGCGACTGTTTTGTTGTAGGTGGTATTGGTATACCCGGAGCAGTGGTTGGTATTTTAGTCGGCGGCTTTATACTCAAGCGTTTCCAGCTACGACCAAAAGGTATGTCACAACATACTGTGTACAAGAATTTGTGAACATATACCAATACTTACCTTTATAAACTGGACAAGCTTTATAATATTCTTTATTTATCCCATGTGACCGAGGTCTGGGAGGAGATATAAGGATGTTCCTATTAAGCAAGGTACATCATATACGTAATTCTTAACCTTTCCAGCTTCCTGGTAACATCATTCCTTGAGCATTTTTTTTTTATCAAACTTGGCACTTTTTGATAAAAGAACAGTTTATCTTCTGACATCTTCAAATCTTAAAGTGAACATCCTCATTACTATTTTTAGAAATTCCTTGTTATCACTCTAACAGCTTTATTCCTGGAAGATTTTGAGAAAACTTAACACGCTTGTCCAGTTTCTGGTTTCTTTACTGTATGTTACTTATTGTTGGATCCTAGAATTATGTATATTGCTTGTAACACCTGGTGTACCATGGAGTTGGTTAAGTTTCAAAATTATTATTTTCACAGGTGCAGTCCAGCTCGCACTTGTGTTAGATATCCTGGCTTTTATAGGATTCATATCGTTTTTCATCCTCGGCTGTGAAAACCTTAAGATAGCTGGCGCCACCTATCCTTATAGTGCTTACTACAATAGGTAAGTTAGGTAACTGTGGCTGGTAATATGTATTTCTGTCTAGGAACAAGGAATAGATAAGATATACACATAGAAATTTCAGGAATTTCATTTTGAAATAATCCCATATACAAACACCTGGTTGTACATAATGAACGTCAGTCAATTAGAAAGACACTGAAGCTTTACTTACTGTTAATCTCTCTCTTTCATGTTCTAACTACCAAACTGTTTTCATGAGTTTTCATCCCCACAAAATGTAGGGGAAATTTATTTTGGCTCCATGTGTCCGAGGGATTTTCCGCACTATAACTTCAAAACCATTCAACTCAACTTCACAAAACTTTCTGTATATATTAATGTAGTTCTTTTGTTGTGCCTTTTGCTATTGACAACACCCCCTTTTTTTTTTTTTTACATATTTTTGTGTTACCATGGAAACATAGCCAAAAAAACAGAATTAGTGTTTAATTTCCTTTCCAGGCTACTTCATATTTTTCCACTCAGCTCAACAAAGCTTTCTGTATATATTAGGTTAGTGCCCTAGTTGTGCCTTTTGCTATTGACGACATTTCATTTTTTATATTTTTCTGTTTTCATGGAAACATAGTAAAAAAAACATGAAATTAGTATTAACTTTTCTTTCTGGGCTACAACTTAAAAACTTTTCCACTCAATTCAACAAAACTTTCTACATATATTAGGTTAATAAATAATGGGTGATCCAACACTCCTAATGTAGAACTTTGCGGTAGTATCTTCGGTCGGATCCTAGGGATTCGATAGAGTTCCTTACTAATAAAACATAATCAAAATAAAAAAGGCAATTTCACCTAAGTCTTCGTGTTGTTGAGTTTCCTTTTTTATTTTGATTATATATTAGGTTAGTGCCTTTTTGAGAACATTTTTTTATTTATCTTTTCTTTTACCATCAATTATTTTTATTTCTTGTAACTTCTTGTATCACTCCAGAGCTTATAGAGAGTCGCATAAATTTGTTCATGGATAATACCAAGCTCTGTTTAAATATCAACATTCAAACACTCAGGATCTACATCAAGATATAAACTTTTACTATAAGTTTCATATATAAGACATATATATATTATTTGAAGTTAAGGATATGCAAGAAAATTGAATTCAAAAGAAGATGTAACATTATGCACTAGTGCTTTCACTGTATTAGATCTTCAGGTGATAGTAACGGTACATTATTGAGTGATGTCACAAAACGTTTTACCATTAATTGTTATATATATTGTTATAAATGTATCATATTTGGGTTTTACATCAACCGCTGGTTGGGGGGGATATAATGCCACACTTTGTGGCTCCTTGTTTTCTATTCATTGAACAAACATTATGTAAAGTGCTGTTTATTATAGGAAAAGTGTGAATGACTTGATATAACCAATCTAATGGTTAAACTCCGTCTGATGAAATGATCGATTGCAATTTTTCATAATCGATTATCAATACCTTGATATTGCTTGTGTTTTAGCGAACACAAAATGATGCTTACTACAGATGCCAATCAATATTCATAATGCAAATTCTTGGTAAATGAGGTATTTTATCTTAAACTTAAAAAAAACGAAAATATTACTGTAACAAAGAATGCGTTTACTTTCTATGAATATTGAACTTGTAATCAGTCGATTATGTAATCAGTCATCATACATCGGAAAGCCTCTCCAATTCTAAACAATAATCGATAATGGATCTTAACCGATTTTCCATCCCTAGGTGGAAATATGATTTTGTTGTTAAGAAAGACTTTTGTAGTAGTCTCAGGAAACTATATATACGTAATTCCAGTTCTGAGATAGAGCAGATAAACGTGGAGACCAATCTGACATCATCTTGTAACATGGACTGTGCTTGTTCTAACAACGACCTTGAACCAATCTGTGGGATCAATGGTATCACCTATTTCTCTCCGTGTCACGCTGGCTGTACTCGCTTCTACAGCTACATCACCCCACAGGAAAAACTCATGGTAAATATGTGTAAACTTTGTAAATACTAGTTCCAATATGTATCTAGAGAGAACTTCTCCTTAGCTTTATCAGTTGAGCATTGGACTAGTAAACCAGAGGTCCTGGGTTCAAATCCAAGTTGAGGCCTGAAATAAATAATGACCTCTTTACAGTAGTAGGATTTATTTCCTATCTCAAATTTCTGATATTATTCATGAAATGTTTACTTATTTTCAAAGAAAAAGAAATTGGAAAAATTTATTCACCTTTTCACTGTTTCTGATTGAAAGCTGTCAGTGGGACAAGTCTTGACTGTTCTCACCACAAAGTTTACATATGACTCGGAGTCAAATATCTTAGCCAGTTGTAGAAGTAGGATATTACTTTCCAACTGAAATAGATTTATGTAATCAAAAAAAAAAATTGTGTCCAATTAAACTCTCGACAAGATACTGGTTTTTGAAATGAGTCCTCAAATTTGATTATTACTTCATTGAAGTATGTTTAGATAAAGAATGCCTTTGGTACTCCTGTTGTTCTAGAGCTGTATTGTAGGAATTTCTCTATTGAAGGACTGACACATAGTACTTTTGTTTTTAGAATTTTAGTGGCTGTTCCTGTATCATGGACAATGTCAGTATATCCCCTGAGGTCATTATGTCCCCAGTGGCGACTAAAGGTCCCTGCAAGTCAACCTGTCAGAACCTGTTCCCGTTCCTGATCCTCCTGGTGGGGGTCACCTTCACTGTGGCTGGTACACAGATGCCCCTCCTCATGGTTACTCTCAGGTCGGTCCACGAAGAGGAGAGATGTTTTGCGCTTGGCATGCAGTTTGTGATACTTAGGTTGTTTGGTAAGTAATAAGAACAAAAGAAATGTTTTCATACTTGAAGTTAATTTGTTACAATATTCACAGACTGTTGAGTCAAGTCTTTGGATTGGAGGATGTGATAGCACAACAAGACTCGTATGATGCCCGACCACGTAGGTTTTCTCCGGGTACTCCGGTTTCCTCCCACATTAAGACCCCTCGCATGCTTCCATCAGGGCCAACAAGAGAAATTAATATAAGTTGAAAAAACTCGCTTTGCAATTATTCTAAAATAAATAAATTTTATTATTATTATTACTTGGTCGATGAACAATGTATATAAGGTAAAAAAATAACGAGAAATTATCTGGACATAAGTATGTGTTCATTGGTGGTTACGGTGAATTTAAAAATCAAGAATTACGCACAAACTTCCCTAGATTATTGGGTCAATTTCAGATCAGAGAAATATATGAAGGCCATTTTCAGAAAGATTCCGTCAGTATTTGACCCTCTATAGGATTGTCATTGATACGTGTCATGACTACACATTTCTTTACATCAGTTTCGGTTACTGAACTTTCAAATGATGGAAGTTGTATTTGCCTGTGAATGAGATTAATGTACAAAAGAACATAAGTTTACCTAGGGAATTTTAAAACCATTCGAGGGAGGTGTGACCTAGGGAATTTTAAAACCATTCGAGGGAGGTGTGACCTAGGGAATTTTAAAACCATTCGAGGGAGGTGTGACCTAGGGAATTTTAAACCAATTGAGGGAGGTGTGACCTAGGGAATTTTAAACCATTCAAGTGAGGTGTGACCTAGGGAATTTTAAAACCATTCAAGGGAGGTGTGACCTAGGGAATTTTAAAACCATTCAAGGGAGGTGTGACCTAGGGAATTTTAAAACCATTCAAGGGAGGTGTGACCTAGGGAATTTTAAAACCAATCGAAGGAGGTGTGGTGGTGTACTTGTGATTTGTTTAAGTTGCTTAAAAAGGTAAAAATGAAATTGAAAAAGTAGCTGGCTGCTGAAATAATTTTAAATATTTTGTAATATTTGGTATTACAGCCTACATCCCCTCACCAATCATGTTTGGTAATACAATAGACACAGCCTGCCTGTTGTGGAAGGAAAGGTGCGGGCACCATGGCTCCTGTCTCGTCTATGATATCGTCCAGTTTAGATACAAATATGTTGGTAAGTGACCACACCATGGATCCTGTCTTGTCTATCGTCCAGTTTAGATACAAATATGTTGGTAAGTGACCGCACCATGGGTCCTGTCTCATCTATGATATCGTCCAGTTTAGATACAAATATGTCAGTAGGTGGACCCACCATGGGTCTTGTCTCGTCTATCGTCCAGTTTAGATATATATATGTGTCAGTAAGTGGCCCCACCATGGGTCCTGTCTTGTCTATCGTCCAGTTTAGATATAAATATGTCAGTAAGTGGCCCCACCATGGGTCCTGTCTCGTCTATCGTCCAGTTTAGATATATATATGTGTCAGTAAGTGGCCCCACCATGGGTCCTGTCTTGTCTATCGTCCAGTTTAGATATATATATGTGTCAGTAAGTGGCCCCACCATGGGTCCTGTCTTGTCTATCGTCCAGTTTAGATATAAATATGTCAGTAAGTGGCCCCACCATGGGTCCTGTCTCGTCTATCGTCCAGTTTAGATATATATATGTGTCAGTAAGTGGCCCCACCATAGGTCCTGTCTCGTCTATTGTCCAGTTTAGATATAGATGTGTCAGTAAGAAGATCAGTAAAGTGAGAAATTCTTATGTTGCCTATATCTTACAAGAAATAGAGACTTCCACAAGATGTTTAAAATGACTTTAAATTTCAGAAATCAATTAAGAGTAAATATTGTTACACAATAGTTAGGTGTTGGTGCTTATCAATATAACATTTCCTAATGTATTTCATTGTAGGCATATCAGCTGGTCTGAAACTGCTTGGTGCTACATTGTTTCTCATTGTATGGTTTCTCATAAAGAAACGAAATGAACAGGATATGCAAAATACTCTGTCGGTGAGTTTGTTTACTGAAAAGTTAACTTCTGTGTTTACATCTATACAAATGTTCTGATTATCCTTACTTGTTAGTCCTCTCTCGACCTCTAGAGGTCGACTTGATTGTATGATTTTTTTTAAATCAGCTGAGATTTCTGAAGACCACATTTTACAAATGTTTTTCATTCATTATATTATGACGCTAATTGAATTTGTTGCTGGAAATTTTCTGTCAAAACTTTATCAAAATATGCCATGAAATGTATTCTTAATGAATGAATCATTTGTCGTTTTAGGAAATCATGTTTTAATTTCCATTAATAGTTTAAAAACAATACAATATTTATGGTCACTGCTTGTTAGAAAGATAAATGATCAGAGCTGTTCAATTCTTTTTTCAGGTCGGTGAAATCATGACTTCTGTCAATTCCATAAACAAGATGGATATGGATTACGACCAGCGAACAAAACATCGTCGAACGTCCAGTCAAAGTAGTCATGGCAATGATCAAAGATTGACATCCAGCCAGAAGTGGAATAGTCGCGATGATGACCATCGAGCTTGGCACCAGCGTACTCACAGCCAGACGTCCAGTTGTCATGACAACAGCCTGCCAATACACACACAGATCGTAGTGGACCACTATAGCAATGTGTACACACACGACCACAATCACTATAGCGACACAGACTCGGACACTCCAGAGACAAGCTTCTCATTAACCAGGCCAATGGAGTCTGCTGTATGATTGTAGCATATGTAAAGTGTTCTGCTAAGAGGAACGAAGTTTGTTGTGAACGACATGTTGTTATAAAAAAAAGTCAAACATGTGGGAATAAATTGATAGAAATAAAAGATTTTTTTGTTTTGCAAAATTGTGTGTTGATAGATGTTTACAAGAAATAACATGGACTTGTAGAAATTTTGTGTAAATATATGTACACCATGTTTTTTGCCATGTGAAAATGTTTTATGTAAATATGTTATTGTCACACCACTATTGAGCTATCTAATAATGTACTTAAAGGAAAAACAAATTGTGATATTTGAGTTGATATAAAATGATATAGTATATATATATATATATATATATATATGTATGTATGTATGAAAAGAGTTGTTTACATTATATGTTATATATGTACAGATGTTTATCTACATGTGAAATGATATAGGTAGAATACAGATACTAACACTCATTTCACCTCATATGTCCTTTTTCTTTCATTTTTTTTCTTTGTTTTTTTTTCTTGTTTGGTGTTTGTTTTTCCAATTTGGTAGAATGTTTCTTTCAGCATCTCTACTTTGGAACAAGCTGAAATCATTTACATCTTCAGGTGATATATCAGGTCTAACTACTGAATGGAACCGCAGGGGAGATAATCTAGTCATATTGCTATTTTGTTAACTGATTTTCTAATGTAATGAGGATATCTAAGAAATGCAGATAAAAATGATATAGAGCTGAAATATAAACAAAAAATCTCATACTTAATAACCTATTTAACAAGCGTCTACATATCCAAATGAATATATTGATTTTTGTTATTCTATTAAATCATTAATATTCACAGTTTATGCTGTAATCAGATGACTGATATAACATTGCCATATCATTAACTTATAATGTCATATCAAGCTTTTAGATGATCACTGAAATAGATTAAATAAATACAAATACTTCATGTTAACTTGATACTGGATAAGCACACAGCAGATATGGAATGTAGGTCAATGTCAAACATAGCAGACATGGAATGTAGGTCAATTGTCAAACATAGCAGACATGGAATGTAGGTCAATTGTCAAACATAGCAGACATGGAATGTAGGTCAATTGTCAAACATAGCAGATATGGAATGTAGGTCAATTGTCGAACATAGCAGACATGGAATGTAGGTCAATTGTCAAACATAGCAGATGTGGAATGTATGTCAATTGTCAAACATGGCAGACATGGAATGTAGGTCAATTGACAAACATAGCAGCCATGGAATGTAGGTCAACTGACCAGTATAAGAGATATTAAATGAAGGTCGTTTGAAGGACACATTCTTCAAATGTAGGTCAATTGACAATTATATAGCAGACTTCAGATAAAGGTCTGTTGACAAACGCAAATAAGACCTAAAAATTATCACTAAATACATATAAAATAACAAAAGGTTAATGTTCTGTTGATTGTAGTTAAACACGATAGTGTCACAGGATGAAAGAGAAAGTAAGGTATGAAAATCTCATGTATTTCTTTAGTCTGGAAGAATCTTTCATTCTTGACATTTGTTTGAACTTGGAAATTCATCAGTGGAGATGAACTTGGAAATTCATCAGTGGAGATGAACTGGGAAATTCATCAGTGGAGATGAACTGGGAAATTCATCAGTGGAGATGAACTTGGAAATTCATCAGTGGAGATGAACTGGGAAATTCATCAGTGGAGATGAACTGGGAAATTCATCAATGGAGATGAACTTGGAAATTCATCAGTGGAGATGAACTGGGAAATTCATCAATGGAGATGAACTTGGAAATTCATCAGTGGAGATGAACTGGGAAATTCATCAGTGGAGATGAACTGGGAAATTCATCAGTGGAGATGAACTGGGAAATTCATCAGTGGATAGAGGTTATAGGGGATTTATCTTATCAGATTTTTTTCTTTTTAACTCAAATGGGTTTTTTTTACATGTTTGCTTGTTATTGGTGTTAAATTTCTACATGTGGAAAAGACAACATCCAGTATATATTTTTCATACAACAATTAAAGTAATGTTGAAATTCATACTGGGTCTGTTTATGGCACAGAATGATGGTATGATAATATGGAAATCCAGGCTAATGTTGGAGTAATGTTGATTAACACTTTGAAGCAGACAGGAAACAGTGTTTGTGGTTTACTGTTGATCATGTATCCTGCTGATGACTGCGTGGTACTGTCAGGTCCTTGGACTTATACAAAGTGAGCTGAGTCAGTTATACAAGGAGCAGTGCATACATTTGTTTAGAGAATGTTTTGAGAGATCGTTCAAGTCAGCTTTGTTTTATTTTTTAATTAAGTCATTGTTACAATAGTTGGTATATATTTATGTTTAATGAACAACATTTTGACATTTTATAGTCAGCTCTGTGTGTTATATTTTGTAACTAAATCATCTGTTTATACTGTAAGATAGGTGCTTGATGTAAGAACCAGTTATATTATCTTGCCAATCAGATTTTTATGAGCTAGGTTCTATTTATTCTTTCTTAAAGAACACAGCTTCTAAGCAGTTTCATGTTTGTTTTCCATTTTGAATGACTTTCTTTGAAGTTTAGATATTATTTTTTATCTTATTTGATATCCAACAAAATAATACAAGGAAGTAAAAAGATTCTGAATGCTCTGTGTATAAACCTTATCATTAGGACAGATAAAACTATGTGGTTTTATTCCAGTTCTATAGAAATTCACATTTTGTCCCCATGGACAGTGGCAGTGAAAAGGTCTGAACTCAACGATATACAAACTTAACCAAGTAACAATGACCTCAGAAAGTCCTAGTGATCCGTAACTAATAAGCACACTTTCTGGTCCCGATGTGACATCACCTGTAGGATAATTAAGATGTATTGGTTGTAAGAACATAAATTATATTGTAACAAGAGTGTTTGATGAAGTATAACCTTCTTTTGATTTTGTCAAACTGCCATCTTGGTAAATGTTCACAAAGGTGACTGTGTAGGGAAAACTTCTCTGGAATACCATCGTGAATGCTTATTGTTAAGTTTGTGACAAGGCACATCTTGCTATCCTCACATCATTAGTCAGGGATACTAATATATAGAAATTTTCTGTGTACTAACCCATACTGGGACAACGGCGAAATTCAACAACTTTACAGTAACAAGGTCCTTTATAGTGTTAACACAGATTTATTGTCTTGTCTTGCCAAAAAATGTTTAAGGTGCTAGCTTTCTATGTAGAATTCTTCGATAAATAGTAAAAAATTATTTTTGAAGCTGACTTTCTTACACAAAGAAACTTTATCTGAAACCAAACTCATTTTAGAATGTAGTGTTAACATGCTTACAATAAAATTAAAACACAGTAGTTCTCAGTCCCAATCAATGCTGTCAGAGAGCTTTCACTCTAATGCCAAATACTGCCGTAATATTATCTGTATTGTGACACTCGTTAAGACAGGGTAATGATTGTTACAACAGTATTGTCAAGGTGCTTATCCTCGTTTCTAGTCAACTTGTCTTCAGCATTGTTACTTTTTTATCCATACAATATATATTATGAAAGTTGATTTTTTTGCTGATATTTTGCCGTGAACTTACCGTAATACTGCCACTTATTATGTTCAGTGATTAGTCAGCCCTGATAGTTTCTGTAATGCTGTCAGATTAAGCCCTGATAGTTTCTGTAATGCTGTCAGATTAACAATACAACTTGTAGGCTGTTATTACACAATTATTTCTAGAATTTTGCGGTGCTATGTTTAACAACCAAAACTAAGTAAATGTATTGTTGTGATTGTCCAATACAAGCACAGGAACTTCTGTAAGTTTAGTATAGTTACAATTGATTATATATGTACAGATAGACCCTTAGTCGATCTTTGCATTACTGCTTGAAAAAAAATGGCAGCAACTCGAATTCCAGAGAAATGGCAAACCCATGGGTTTATAAGCAAAAAGGGCCAACCATGCTTATCCAATACTTAGCTGTTCAATATTCTTGTTTACAAAATTTCTGCGTGAAATAAGATGATATTTCATATAGATCAAAATGGAATTTGATCTGATCAAGAATTTGATTTGATCTGATCAAGAACCTCAAAACTATGCATTTTGTGGTGTGTCTATTTTGTTTCTACCATATGCAGATAAGTTTTTAATCTAAGCTCTTAAAAGTGCTTTCTTGATGAGTTCAACACAAATCAGCCCTGTTGCATGGTATGAAGATGCTTTTTTTGGTAACAAGAGAGACAACCTGTCTGAGAAGTTGAGATTTGCTATTGAGAATATGTATGATGGGATTGCTACTATTTGATGGAGCTGTAGATATCTTGTGTGACTCTTACTGTTGAATACACACAATCATAGTTTACATAAATGTTTATATATGTTGAAGTTCCAGTCTTTCATTGAAATAATTTATTTATGTTTGTATGTTTTTGTTGCTAAATTCATGATTAAAGATGTTATTATTATGAAACACCTTACATAGTTAAAAGCTGGACCAGCAGGATTTTATTTGCAATGTTACACACTGTTGTTGTGTCCTAGAAATGATTAGTAATCATCATCACACTGCTGGTAAATTCTCATCTGATCCAGAAAACAACCTCCATGTTTCTACTTCAGACAAATTGACTGTAAGTAAGTTTGAAGAGAATCATTGATGTGAAAGTCCTTGTAGATTTAAACATAAATTGATGGTTATTTTTCATCACACGTACATCAACCTGCTTTACATCAGTCTGTGTTCATGAAATCAGTCTCATGGTAAAGCTTGAAATCTTTGTTCAAACAGACTTTCTTTAAACTTGCTAAATTCATGAAATCATAGGATTTTAAAAAGAAAAAAATAAATATTGGAAATAATTCCTCATTTTAAGTCAGAAATTCCTTGAAATCAATAAAAAGATATTCAGATGAAAAGAGTTACCAGTGAAAGTATTCAAGCTCAAGCACAAAATGTGGATTTGAGCATGAGTGTGGTTTCATGACTATGGACCTGTGATGTAATGAGCTTAAATT